CGACATGGCGTGAAATAAAGTAACATCTGGACGGAGACATAAAACAAATGCTTGTCGTGACAAAAATGCCGGATTTCCGTTCAACTTGAGAACCAGCCCTTGGCATCGCCCAAGAATCGGAGATTTATCATCGTGTTGACTTACTACGGCGTGTCCCCGATCTACGCGACCAGGTAGCCATATACATTCTTGGCCAAGGAGTTTCACAGTTTGGCTCCGAGGCCTAAAACGAAAGTTCGTGTTACGAATTTGCCCTGGGCGTCTAGTTCCTGGTAATCAGGTGTAGTGGAGCGGCTCTGGCACTATGAAACACCAACCCCTGGCCAGCCTGAAGTTTACTCCATCGATCACCAGGGACCTGTTACAATTGGGCAATGGGGCCGTGGTTTTCTCCTGGCATGTCGTCGTCAGCGAAACTCGCCTGGAAGCTGTGACAATGCCCCGTGTTCGTGTGGCCGCCATGTTCCGAGCTGGACTCTGAGCGCGGCCGTCATTATAGAATGCTCAAGGCTGCACCGAAGATTTTCTCACTCGGTAGCCAATTCGCCTCATCTCTTTCATTCTACACAATTTCATTCGTTTCAAAAGGCCGATAACCTGGAGTTTCGCCTCGTCTTGTCTTGCATCTACACCACCTAACGCATATATACCGATCCCGGCACTCTCTTTTCGGCTAGCACCATGAAGTCCACTCTTGCTCTCACATCCGTTCTCGCAGCCCTGCTCCGGACTGCCGTCGCCGCTGATGCCGTTCAAGGTACCGCAGAAGGTTTCGCCTCTGCTGTGACCGGTGGTGGCAGCGCCACTCCCGTCTATCCAACTACAACGGACGAGCTGGTCTCTTACCTTGGCGATAGCCAAGCCCGTGTCATTGTTCTCAACAAGGAGTTTGATTTCACTGGTACTGAGGGAAGCACCACAGCGACCGGCTGTGCCCCCTGGGGCACTGGCAGTGCCTGTCAGCTTGCGATTAACCAGAACGACTGGTGCAAGAACTATCAGTCGTCTGCACCCTCCGCCAGCGTCACTTATGACAAGGCTGGTGTGTCCGGCATCAAGGTCGGAAACAACAAGTCCATCATTGGCTCCGGCTCCTCCGGTGTTATTCGAGGAAAGGGCCTGAAGATCTCTGGCGTGAAGAACGTCATAGTCCAGAACATCAAGATTACCGAGCTCAACCCTAAATATGTCTGGGGAGGCGATGGAGTCACCATCAACTCGGCTGATCTGGTTTGGATCGACCACGTTACCACCTCTCTGATCGGTCGCCAGCACATTGTCCTGGGCACCAGCGCTGACAACCGTGTCACCATCTCCAACTCCAAGATTGATGGCACCACGTCTTGGTCTCCCAACTGTGATTCGTATGCCTACTGGGGTGTTTACTTCGGTGGATCTAGCGATGTAAGTGCTCTATTGCTAGGATGAGAATGATGGATGCTAATCTCGCCGACAACAGAAAGTTACCTTCAAGAACAACTACATCTACCACACCTCGGGCCGAAGCCCCAAGGTAACCGGCAAGACTCTTCTCCACGCCGTCAACAACTACTTCAGCGACATCAAGGGCCACGCCTTCGAGATCGACTCCGGCACTCAGGTTCTCGCTGAGGGTAACTATTTCGAGGGTGTTGATACCATCGTCGAAGGCTCGAACGGCCAGCTTTTCGTCGCTGATAGCAACGGCTCCGCCTGCTCCAGCGGCCTGGGCCGATCTTGCCAGGCCAACGGTTACAGCAGCTCCGGCACTTGGAAGGGAACCGACTCCAGCTTCCTCTCCAGCTTCTCCGGATCTGACGTTGCCTCTGCTAAGGCATACAGCTCAGCTACTGGTCTTGCCAGCAGCGCCGGCAACACCATTTGAAGAATGGGGTTACTGGGAATGGAAATGGCAACGGCGAACAGGAAAAGAAGGCAAACCTAGAAATAGGTTACTTTGGACGTTCTTGAGTTGTGCATCTAGAATATAGATAAAAGATCTGGTTAAACCACTGGATGGTTTGACCTCCGGGATCGACTTCATAGCACTAATATAAATGGGTGTGCTTGTAACCTGCATCATCTGCCGTGTTTTATTTGCTGTCGTGAATGAATCCTACCAACAATCTAAGAAGATAAAAGATGGACTGTCTCTTAATTCCTTGCACTTTTGGATAGCTATGCTTCCCGCGTCTTGCTTGCTTCCAAAAAAGTGCGAATACTGCGAGTATAAGGCAATGAGTTTATTGACATCTATCATAAGGTGTGAGTAAAGGAACAGAGAGCCCTTATATAAGAGTCGTTTCATCGCATGATTCCTTCAGACGACCCCCTATTAGAACTACGAACTGATGAGAAATCGACATGGACAGACTCCTCCAGACGGATAAAAGCCCGACCATCATATTCTTCCTGGTTTTGATTCGGCCCACTCATCATAGATGTCGAAACTGAGGTCTTGTGTCTCCCCTTCATGTTATTAAGGGCGATGTCATTTGAGTGGCTGTTGCCTGACGTTGCATGCGATGGATCACTCTTGCTTCTGTCCCAGGTTCCGAAATGGCTGTCAATATATGTGCCCAGGCCGACTCCTTGATATATAGCGCGTGCCAGGGGGCGCGTTCCTGGAAGACAAGAGCAAATAAAATAGGCAGCCACCTCAAGTGCGGTGTAGATCACGGTCGTGCCACCGTTATTTGTGACATCCGTGCCCACGTTGGTCCGGTAGAAACCAACAAAGCGGATGATTGAGGTGATGATACCCCTGAACCGGCATTGTGTGCATTAGTTCAAGATCGAGCGATAATTGATATCTCGAGGTCAACAGAACCGGAATAAACTTACAACCCTCCCACTGCGAATGTCGCGAAGACGCCGGCCTTTTTCAACCTGCTCATATTCAAATGCCAGAGACTCGGTATGGGTAAGAGCAGAATCGCCACATCCGACACGATGTTGGGGATGCTGATATACTTATATGCTGCCATAAAATTGCCACAATGGCCACCTTGAATAGTCTTGTTCCAGTTATAAGCAAATGGCTGGCAAATGGCGAACAATGCAACCACGCTACTGAAGCAGAGGCCGATGAGGAGGCCCATAACAACCCAGGTGGCAATGATCACTCTGCGGTCTGCAAAGACCTTGAGATAAAGTATTAAAAGCGCCACTTTTGGTAGAGTGATGCCCACCATGTATATGAACTGGCTGGCGGTCTGATACTTGAGAAACTTTGTGATTGTGGCTGGGTTGTGAAGCAGCCAATAAGCCGCGTGTCTACCTGCGCCGCCATCTGTGGCAAAGACTATCAAGTATTAGAAGTCAGCGTATTTCATAGGAACGTAGAGAGATTAGGACAGATCTCAAGGTATGAGAGAAACTCACAGTGACACAGGATAGCCAGCGATAGACAAAAGCAGTAGGACATGGGGTAAACGGTCCATATTTCCCAGCCGTTCCGCTCAGCGAAAAAGATTCTAGAAACATTGAATAGAATATAAAAACAATTAACAATAACCATTAGGGCGATCCCAGTGTGTTGGAGCCTGTGACTTGTATCGTGGGCCATATACTCTGGTGGGAGAGCCATGAGTGTCTCCTTGGTTATTGTTATGGTAGTCATATTGGGACGGGTCTGCGACTAAAATTTGAGATCTGGTTCAATAGGTAAAGGCAGACCTTTCGGAATTAGGCCAAGCATGGATCCTGACATTCTTTTAAAGCACTTTGGTCTAACGACGAGCGGAGAATTACGACATTGCTTGCATATTTCCACCAACTGGATGCACATTCTACCTGCCCATGCTTACCTAGAATGCAACGGTGACAGAATCCTAGAGGAGGGTTGCATATGCTCCCAACAAAGGCGTTTTCCAATTAATTTATATGAAATTCTAGCGGGCGTCGGCCTATTTAACCGTATTTCGTACAATTGGCGTACAGGTCGTTCCCTATGCTGAGGTCGGCGAAGTGCCAGAGGCGCAGATAATATATTGAATCCTTCACTGCGACCCTGCCCACATTACTGCAGGCATTCCGCGCAGTAAAGCAGGTCGTGGGCTAGGTAAGATGCATAAACAAGCCGCATGCATATTGAGGCATTTTCCGCTATGCGAGGCGTTTCTTCCGTAATTTTCGGAGCCAACTGCTGTTGACGAAATGGCGTGCGTCCCCATATCGAAGGAAGTACCAGCCGCAAGGCCGAAGTTTATTGTGTTGTGATGCCTGGGTATGGTATCAAGTTATCAAATTACTGGTGTCTGGGAATTTCCCCTTTTTTTTTTCAGCAGCTGTACAGCTCCCTCACTTACTATCGAAGGAAGTACTTTAGACAAGAATTTACCGGCAAACAGTATACGAATCATACGATAGTGCTGCAATACGCCGAGATTTGGGTTGGAATGTTGGTTTAGTTCTAACTGGGGAATGAATAGTAGTATCAACTGGTCATGTTAGGAGCTTGTTTGGCATACCGGTTTTGGTTCTTATTCTAATACCATAGGATGCCCGGACAGTAATCAAAAGCTTCCATTAAACCTACCTGAAGGTCTGAGCACGAACACTGGTCATGTAACTATAAGATACGATAAAACCCTTGAAAGCCTCTCTTTGTCACATAGGCTTCTAAACTTGGGCTGATGACTAGGGCATGAGATCCAGCCTAAGATAAAGTTATATCGATTTCATTGTGATATAAATGCTATGCTGGACGAACGACCAATGCATTATCAACAAAATTCGTCGACCGATGCTACAATCCATGAGCCGAAAGATGTAACACGATTGAGCAGTGAGTCACTGAAACGGGAGAGATACACAAATGAGCTCTATATATATTTGTTTAGACTAATAAATAAAATGACAAATCTTCCCTTTCTATGTTGAATACATTCTATATCGGCACCTTGAGTAATCCATCTGCTTAACCACCTAATTATTAACCAACACCGGCTTTCTTCTTTGACACTGAAGTAGAATGCCCGAGTATGAGAAGATCTCGAATCGTTTCACAAGCCCTATTATCAAATTTGGCTATCCAACTGCTGTCCCTCGCACATATTGGCGTACATACCCCCCTTTGCAACTAACTCATCGTGAGTTCCAGCTTCCACGATCCTACCAGCATACAAAACGAAAATGCAGTTAGCATTTCGGACCGTGGAGAGGCGGTGCGCCACCGCGATGGTGATTTTGTCGCCAGATGATGCTGCTTCCGACAGAGCACCTTGAACCAGTTTCTCAGACTCTGTGTCCAACGCACTTGTGGCCTCATCAAGGAGAATCACGTTGGGCTTTCGAACCAAGGCCCGAGCGATGGCAATGCGCTGCCGTTGACCGCCAGAGAGCTGGCTGCCGCTCGTCCCGCACTGAGTGTCGAGGCCATCAGGCAGCGATGAGACAAAGTCCCATGAGTTGGCTGCTCGGCACGCCTCTTCAAGCATGTCATTTGAGGCTACCTCCGCCACACCCAAGCCCGGCAAGCCCTGGGAGATGTTCTCGCGGATTGTTCCGGGAAACAGTGTCGGCTCTTGTTGGACGAGGGCCACTTGCTTTCGATAGAGTAGCGGGTTCATGGAAGACAACGGGCCAGACGAACCAACAGTTATGGTTCCGCTTGTTGGGTCATAGAAGCGTTCAAGAAGAGATATGATGGTGCTCTTACCACATCCTGAGGGGCCCACGAAGGCCACAAAGTCTCCTTTGTTGATCTAGTGTATGGATGTTAATGAAACGACGATTTCAATCTTAGAGTCATGGGATTCTCCCATATATAAACCCTCTCACAGCCTACTAGAGGCAACCTCCCTCATTGGGATGGAACACTTACTGAAAAGGACACGCCTTTGAGAACACGATTGTCGGGCGCTAGGGGGTATGAGAACTTCACATCTTCGAAGCCATAGGAGTATTCTCCGTTCTCAGGTCCTATGTCGTGATTACCGTACGTGTCACGGATAGTTCCATCCAGACCGCCAAGCCAGAAGTAGTAGTTGGCCGCTTGGTTCGCCTTAGTGATACCTAGTGGCCGTCAGTAACTTGCTTTCAACTGTTCTTGGGCCTTCTTTGATACTTACTGCTGACAAAACTAAATGCCAATGCAGTGGCTTGGCCAGAGAAATAAACACCCATGAAAGATACGATAAACTGATAGAATGTAATTTCGCCGTCAACAATCAGCTTAGATCCCCACCTATATGAAAGATAATTAGCTTTGGCTGTTCATAAAACCTTTAACGGAGAAGATCTGGATCTTACCAGAAGCCCAAGGCCAGAATGAAGTACTCGACGGACTGCGTAAGAGAGAACCAGGCCATAATATGAAACATTGACCCGCTCGTCTGTGCAATTGCGAGGTCGAGCTCGTCAGCATATTTCTTTAACATGGTGTTCTCTATAGCCAGAGAAGACACGGTTCGGATGGCGAGGACGGCCTCTGAAGCGACGGAGGCGCTCGTAGCTAATCTCCGATCAAGCTCGTCATCCATCGTTGTTTCGAGCTTCACACGTGCATAGCCACCTATCATCATGGGCGGTAGACCGACGAAGACACCGACGAGCCCCAACTTCCAGGAGACCGCGATCGCAAGGACACTGGACGCAAGAACGTTGAAGACAGACATCAGGATGATACCGACGGCGAATCCCATCAATTCTAGGATTGCCTGCGGGTAGGAATCAAGCTTGCTGATAAGCGCACCCACGGTGTTCTCAGGACGGTCGAAAAACCGAAGGTCCTGTCGCAAGAACGACTCCAATATTTCGCTCCGCAGCTTTCTACTAAGAGTCTATGGTGACATGGAATGTGGTTAGAATCATGGGAATGCCTGTGTGGATATATATGAATGGTATAAGCTCTCACCTGTGCAATGGTATTCGTGCACCAGCCCATAACGAAGTATACAATAAGAACACCGAGTGACATGATGAAGAACATCAAGGCTATGAAGTTGCCACGACTGACTATATCCGGAGAGGTAAAGACGCTCATTACGTTGCCTAGTAGTAGGGCTTGTCCAGGGTTGACAGCGGCTGCGAGTGATCTTGTTGTTAGCACGCGTATCAAGGATGCCTCTTGCGATGGCTAGAAAGGTTCATAAATGATGGAAACAACTCACCCCCTCCAATACAAGTGGCTATTGTGATGCCAAACCAAAGCCATATTTCGGGCGTGCCTCTCAACAGCTTCCAGACATTGACAATGATCCCTGCTTGCTTGTATAGGTCGTAGTCCTCTCGGTCCTTGAGTGCCATCAGCTGTAGGTCATGCGTCGCCTTGGTGTCGACGTTGGTCTGAACTTGATGCATGTCAAGTTCATCTTCCGGGACCTCATCGGTTGTGCCTGCGTCCTCCGAGCTCGATTCCTGACTCTTTTCAAAGACAGTTGGTGCAAGATCCTGAGCGCGGACAAGAGTGGCGTAAACGCCCTTGTGAGAGAGAAGGTGTTCATGATTACCCTGTTCTGCGATCCTGCCCTTGGTCATGACCACGATGTTATCAGCGTTGCGAATTGTTGAGAGTTTATGCGCAATCACAATGGTCGTCCGGTTCTTGGAAGCATTGTCAAGGGCCCTCTGCACAATAGTCTCGGAATTCGAGTCCAGTGCGCTAGTTGCCTCGTCAAGGAGCAGGATCTTTGGCTTTGATATGATACTTCGGGCAATGGCAATTCGCTGCTTTTGTCCGCCTGATAGCAGTCCACCTCTTTCGCCGACACGCGTATGGTATCCTTGCGGTAGACTTTTGATGAAATTGTGGGCAAATGCAAGTTCTGCAGCTTCTTGTACGTATCGCATTTTCTCCTCTTCGGAGGCGGCCTCCCACGGGGTGCCAATGAGTCCATTGGCGATATTCTCGAAAACGCTTTCGTTGAATAGAATAGGTTCCTAGGATCGTTAGAGAGGTTTAATTAGATTCTGGGGCGTGTTTCTTTCTCACCTGTTGCACAAGACGGACGTTGGTCCGCAGCCATTTGAGGTTGAACTGGTTGATATTCTTGTCATCCAAAGTGATGAGTCCTCCGCAGGGATTGTACCACCGCTCGATCAGACCTATAATCGTGCTCTTCCCTGATCCAGACGGCCCCTTTAATCCAAATTAGTCTGCTGCCGCGTCTGAAAGCATAGAAGGATTGTTACGCACCACAAATGCTGTTACCTTCCCTGCAGGGATATCCAGCGTAAAATCTTCCAAAATTGTGACATCTGGGCGCGTGGGGTAGCTAAAGTTGATATTTTCCAAACGGATCGACCCGCAGACATTATCAGGCTTGTAACCTGAGTCTTGAAAGGGGTCGATCTCAGATGTCCTGTCAATGAGAGTGAACATTTCCGACGCTGCCGTTGTTGCACGACTAAAGGTGACCAGGTTCGGCATGACCTGCATTACTGTACTGGCAGCCATGATGACAGAGAATAGGACACTAGAATCGTAGTCAGTTTCATATTTCCAGTTGAAATAGAACAACAGCGCTTTCTGGAATGCGAGAAGACAGTCACCAACATAAATACTGTTCCTAGGTCAGAAACCTCGCCACGGTCGATCATAGCGACGCCCTGCCAGAAGGCCAGGCCCATGCCGGCGTATATCACAAAATACTGGCCCCCAAACACGATACCGTAAAGCTTGTTTTTCTTGATTCCTCTGCTGTAGGCATCTTGGAGATAGGAATCATACTTGGCCATAACCCTTGGACGAAGACTGAACGCGTGGAGCGTGCGAACCCCCCCAAGGATGTTCTCTGCATAGCTGCTGGCTTGGGCGTAAACCTGTAGGATGCCGGTCTCAATTTTAACATCAATGCCGCCGGCGGCACCCATAACAATCAGCATAGTCGGTACCATGAAGATGAGAATTAGCGTGAGCTTCCATTGTGCGACAAATGCAATGATAAATGCCGTAACGAAGGTAGACAGTGCCTGGATGACGATGCCAAGCTTCTCTCCGATACCGGATTGTATCAGTTTACCATTGGTAGTGGCCTGCTGTGATATAGAGCCAGAGACATCTTTATCGTAGAAGGCAACATCTTGTCCAAGTGCAGCCCGAAGATAGCTGCGGCGGAGGTTGCGCGTCAGGAAGTATGCGGCGTAGGTGAAGAGAGATGCGTAGATGTATGTGGCGACCAGGCGAGCGACACCGATATAAACAAACTTGAGACTGCCCTCATGTTAGGAAAGGGATCTGAAATTCACACGTGTATGAGATCATGAAACCTACGCTGACGACTGCACAGCGGACATGAAGTTGCTGGGCATCGAACCTCCCTCGGAGAAGCTGAAGTCGCTAAGCAGCGTCAAGAATTGCCCCATTACCAAATTGACCATGGCGAGAGCAACGCCAGATCCAATAGCTGCTATGATGGCAATAGCTTCCAGAACATAGAGTCTCGTATCACCGAAAGTGAAAACCCGCTAGATTATGCCCTCCAGTTAATGAACGACCACACAGGACGGAGGCTCCAGACCAGACGTACCAAGAAAGGATTCTTCCCCTGTTTCTCTTGAGTAGATTCGTCGTCTGGCTTCTGGGGAATAATCGGAATTTGATCCTCATTGACCACCCCGGCAGCTTTCTCGGGCTCCCTCGAGCTCTCGTTGGACGCCATCTTGTTCGCAGTATGATGGCGTGTGCAAAGAAAAAGAAATAAGAACGAGTGGACGCAAGATGTCGAACTTGCAAATGTTTAGTTGTGTTTGGGGAGAGAAAGAATTAGTAGTTAGGAGTATGAGGAAAGACAAACCTGACTTATGTATGGCAAAATCGAAGAGCCCTAAATGGCTGCCTGTCGATCGGATCTCAGCCACTCGGACTTGCACGTCAGGGGAAGCATGAACGCGGAAGCATCATCTTCGATATGCTATTTCTCGGAGGCTTGGAGGATATCATCTCCGGCAGGGAGAGCCCCAGTCTATTCGAATAATAGAGCGCCCTTCGAGCGTATCGGATACGCAGGCGGAGAGCGGAGCCTCCGAAGCTCCGTCTGTTAAAGGGGGGGGGGACATAAAACAAGGCCTCACCAAGAAGAGTGATTCACCTCTAGGGTCGAGTTATCGCCCTGTTACTTTTTATTAATGATATAATTACACTGAGAAGTAAGTATACGGCATTTCTTCTTGTTAATATCTTGAAACTTTGTTTATATTAGGTGAACCCATGACATTGCCCCGAAACATCAACCCGTTATTTCCTTCTGCCCCTTGTTTTATGTCACCTACCTGCCAAGCCTTTACGACTGTGGCGCCGAAGCTCCGAGATTTTCTTAGGGCCATGACGAAATCCCCATTTGCTTCGGGCCTCCACGTTCATTTTGCCTCCGTTGAGTCCTCCCGTTATAGAGTCACATTCCTGATTCCCCGTTATCGCCTGCGAGCTGTGCAGATCAAGAGGGACCAATCGAAACACGCGGAAAAGGTGACGCATATGACCGAAGCGGCACGTCTCTGCCCGTAAGAACCGCTATCGATGGACGCACCAGATGCCTCGTCAGTCCGGCCTGAAGAGGATGACGTGCAGAGTCCCGCAACAAATGAGAAACTGGCAGTGAGCTTACAGAGGCGTTCGAGTGCAAAAGGGCGATGGTTTGCTAACAAAATTCGGCAAACAGTGCTTTCGCTGTCGCCAGCGCAAGGTAAAGCAGACAATACACCCTCAGCACCCCAAGTCATTCAATTTCGGGTTTTGACTTCTTACTCAGATAAAATGCGACCGCTCGACCCCTTGTGCCCACTGTGTGAAAGTCGGGGTAGAATGCTCGTACGCAAGCGGACCTAAGCCGAGGGAGAGGCGACAGAGAGTAATGGTCTCGAACTCATAGTAAGGAGTTCAACATCATATATAGCGAGGGAGAATGCGAGACTAATATGTGTTTAGTGACTCCAAGCTGGATTCAATATCGAGGAAAATCGACCAGCTCAGCCAGCAGATGAGCCAGTTGAGCCACGAGACTCACCGACCTGGAGCCTCCATTCCTACCGAGAACCAAGATCAGTTCTCTTCGTCCTCTTCCTTTGGTATCACTCCATCTTCCTCCTCCGTGATCTCGACACCAAACACAGGAGTGCTAGAACATCCAACTACTAATGGTAGCCGGGGAGAGGATCTCAACACCTCCTCTAAGGGGGAGTATGAAGGAGAGTCTTCACTTTTTGCTCACGCAGTTTTTGCCAGCCGTTTCCTGCAAAATTTCATCAACAACTCACAAAATCCCGATGTTTCACGCGACATGGAAGCCACCATCGAGGGGCTTAGATCTGCCGTGAACTCTGGAAACCAACAATCTGACACCCTTGATAAAGTGTATCCTCACGCCCACACAATCCCACCTGGTTCATCAATCCGCAACCTTCCACTGTCGCCTATTGACAAGGTATTTGCGTGTTTACGCATGGCTAAGGACTGTCCGCAAGTGGCCACATCATGGCTGGGGCACTTTATGAAGCCTTCCCAGTTTCACGACTATTTTATCAAGGTCGTATCTCCAGGCCCAGCTTCAGAAGCTGACTTGATAATTGTCCACTGCGGCCTTTACTGGCTCTTTTGCGAATGTTCCAAAGCAGTGTCAGGCCAGGAGGTAATGAAAGATTATGATACGCAGGCTTCACTATGCCAAGCCAATCTTGAGACTGTTCTTGTTAATTTCCATTTTCATCACCCAACAACCATGGACCTCGCCTATGCTTTAGGGTTTGCGGTAAGTCACCTATCTCCTTGCTCTTGTGGAAAGCGAGCAACCACTCAATTAATCATACCTTCCCTTAGTGCATGTATTGTCTTCAGAAGAGCAAGATATCCGCGGCGTGGAGCTTCGTCAGCTTTGCCGCACACACCATCCACGCTCTCGGTTTACAGCATCATAAACTGCCCATGAGTTCAGAAGGGCTAGAGGACAAGGAACGCAGGAGAGATATGTTCTGGACAATCTATTCCGCTGAGAAGACATTATCTTTGCGGTTAGGCCGCGCCTCGAACTTCCGAGATCAGGATATTACCCTGGCTCGTCCTGTGCAATCGCGCCCCGGTGATGCGTTCTTGGCAGTACTCGCCCCGGCTTGGGTTAGCATGGCTAGTATTCAGGGTCGGATCTATGACGAAATCTATAGTCCAGGAGCCTTGATGCAACCAGCACATGTCAGAACGTCTCGAGCTCGAGCTCTTGCAGAGGAGCTGAAAGTTCTTATGCAGCGTGCAGAACAGGTTCATGTAGGTTTTAACTGCTTTTTAAGGAGGACTATAACATACGTGTTCGTTCAATTAACCCGAGGACTCTCAACTGATTGGTTATAGGAACAATATACGGCTTCAAAGGGACACGTACTGGGGTTGGATTATCACGAAATAGCACGGCGGTCCGACCGAGTTATGGGCCTTTGCTTTCTTACCCTCATCTACCGCAGTATTGCTCCGGAGAAACCAGCCACATCTGAATTCTGTGACGAATGTGTCGAATACGCGAGGGATACGCTTCAGGAGCATGAAAGATGCGTTGGTGTTATAAACAAGTCACAGGGCAAGCCAATTTTCCTTGAAACATACATCAACTGGTACGTCTTCAACAGCCGCATGGGGACATTTTTCTTGACGAAGACTGACTTCCCAACGTAGGTATATCATTCGATCTCCGTTCATACCCTTCATTGTCATATTCTGCTACATTGTTGAGACCTCCCAGGCCTCGGATCTCAAGCACTTGGGGGCCCTCGTTGAGACTCTTGATTCTATATCAAACTCCCACGCACAAAGTACATTCAGCAAGCAACGTAGTCTCTTCAGGGCATTATATGACGTCGCGTGTAAGTACATCGAGGTTAAATCCCGTGACAACAGCACTGGCCAAGTAGAAATTCCTTGGTCAACAGTCCAGCAAGAATACGCCACTGGGTTCGCTGGCACAGCCTCCGCCATTGGCCTTGGCTCGATAGACCCCAGTGCAGTGGTACAAAATGTTCCAATGACTGCAGCTTCACATGCTCATTCTGGAAGTATGACGGCTGAAGACGTTGGCTACAGAGATAGGCCGGAACTACTGGCGATGGTTGATCCTCTCTCTTTGCATAATCCTGGAATTGGAGATGTGGACATGGAAATGGATCCTTCTGGAGCCCAGCTCTGGGACTGGTTTAACAAAAATCAGTCAATCATGAGGATGCTTGAAGATACATAAGAAAACAACTCTATTTGGGCATGGTACTATGGAAATATGTAAGCCACAGATATGGCACAAGTGCTGAATGATAAGATCAAAATTGAAACAAATCTACCCTAAAAAACATCGCCTCTCATCTATCTATGAATATCATCGCATCTTGGGAAATTCAGATATACTGGAAAGTCAATGCCGGCACCACACTCTATAATCTTCTATTTCTTGTTTGAAACATCTGGAAAGCGCTTGTCAGTTCTTGACTCTAGACTAAACGGAGTGTTGCAAAATTTGTGACTTACTGAATTGGAAGTGGATGATATCTCCATCTTGGACAACCTAGAGATAGGGGTTAACGACCGCGACATTTGATGGGGCTATCGAGTACTTACATAGGTCTTTCCTTCTTGGCGATATTTACCCGCAGCCTTGATGGGAGCCATGGATTTGGCACCTTCGCATAGATCGTGGAAATCTTGGTAGGCGACGACCTCAGCCTTGATGAAGCCCCTTTCGAAATCGCTGTGAATAGCTCCGGCAGCTTGAGGTGCAAGGTATCCTTTGGGGATAGTCCAGCATCTGACCTCCTTCTCGCCAGCTATGGACATATTAGTAAGGGCGAGATATCAACTCAGGATTACAAGATATACGAACCAGTGAAGTAGTATTGCAAGCCAAGCTTGTTAAAACCCTCAGTGATGATCTTGTCCAACTTTGACTTGACCTTGTTCTCCTCAAGGAACTGTGCCTGTGCGGCTGGGTCATCTTTCATGCTGTAGACCTTCTCTTCAAACTCAATGGAGAATGGGATAATGTCTCGGGGAACACCTCCGTGCTCAGTCACCCACTTAGCAATAAGCGGGAGATACTTGCTCTTCTGTCTGAGGTAGTCCTTCATCGTCAAGTTGACCAGATAGATGGTCGGCTTTGTAGTGATCAACTGTAGCTTCTCGTTGATGAGGGCAATCTCGGCGGGGGTCCAGCTTCCATCTCTGACTGGCTGGTCCTTCTCCAACATCTACTTCAATGGTGAATAAACTGAACCATCGTGAATTGAGTATTTGTAAAACATGACTCACTGCCCGAATCTTGGTGGTTGTCTCGGTAAAGAGTGGCAGCATTTTGTACTTGCCACCTGCCTTTCTGACAATTAGCTCCTCGGCGACGATTGCCTTGTCAAGAATATCTGGACCAAATTAGCGAAAGTCAAGCAGGGTCATGGTACACTACGAACCAAGATCTTTCTTGCAAAGCTCGCTTTGGATCGTATCTGAAGGTCAAATTGGTTAGTTATGCCATCTGAAGAAAGCCGGGTGAACTCACTCAAGTCGCGGACGGGGTCAATAGAGTCATCGACATGTAGGACTTCATGGTTATCGAAAGCCCTATTGGAATGTCAGCATCAGACCAAGGCCATTCCACAATTCTCATCATACCTGACGATGTGAAACATGCCATCAACGGCCTGGATGTGAGACAAAAAGGCATTTCCAAGTCCCTCTCCCTGAGAGGCACCCCGAATGAGACCGGCGATATCTGTGACTTGCAGGTAAGCCGGGTACGTGGACGGTGGTTTCCAGAGGTCGCACAGAAAGTTCTAAAGCGCGCTGGTTTTAGCGATGGGTTGGTCTCGAGCGTGAGCAGGGAGCATAAGCCCTATGAAATCGTAACAGAGCGTTTTGACTCACGTATCTTTCGTCTGGAACAGCACATCGGGCCTCGTTGGGCTCGATGGTGCAGAAGGGGTAGTTTTCTGCGGCAGCGCTCTGCTCTGTCAAGAGATTGAACAAGCTGGACTTTCCCACGTTCGGCAGGCCAACACACCCCATCTTGAGGTTCTTGCGGACCCTGCCAAAGGCAACGACATTGTCCTTGACGGCTTCGATCTTCTTGGGAGGCATTGTGGCTGTACTGGCTCAATGGCTGGAATGATCGGTGTTTGATAGGTTGGTCTTGGAGGGGTAAAAGAGGACAGAATCCTGCGGCAAAACTTTTCAAATGTGAGCTGGCCCTCAAGATCCACATAAGCACAGTCATAGCAGATAGCAGGCGTTGACTATTGGATTTGGGACCCATTTGACAAGGAAGGGCGTTGTAACCGTTTCATGCGCTTCCCCATTCCCGGCAGTTCCCACAAAAAGTGTCATATGGCTCATCCACAGAACCCCTAGGCTCAACAAGATCACCGACAGCCGGGGGACCTTTTATCATCTCAAGATTCAAATAGATATAAATCGTTACAAACTTTCGAAACGATGCGCCTTTCATTCATAATAAAGTGCTGAGTAGTAATGTAAGATCAGAGAATCCATACATGCTCATCCTCTCAATGACTCCAGAAGGACTTTGAGATTATTCAATAATCAACTTGACAAAGAAGCGTTCTAGTTGATCTTATTAAGTGGCTAGATTAGATACCAACTTGTAGAGGATTACCAAACTCGGGATTACTTGTGGCCCGAAAGTTTCCGAGCCATTTACTTTTCCGCTCTTAGAACTCGCTATTCTTCGTATCTCTACCAAAGGGGTCAAAGTGATAGAACGGAAGAAGTCTAGCGACGGCGAAAATGGGGGACTTGAGCAACGCATTTAGGCCTAAGTAGAGTGATTAAGACTAAGGTAGATGAGAAGATAACCTAATAATCCTCTTAGTCCCTAAGAAGGATTTTATAAGTTGGACAAATATGCATATCAATAAACCCTTAAATGAAACAGGTAATTCTGACTCGTGTGTCTGGGATGGCAGGTCGTAATGCTAGAATGCTGATAAAACTGGCTTTGGATACATGGAGTTTAGTGGTTCGACAAATGCTAACCCAGCTGAGTGGCTATTGGAAGTTATGACTTCACAACTTGAGACTGAAATTGATCTGGTTTGCTTAGGAGTGTAGCATTTTGAATAGCTATAATCGGAAAAATAAGCCGGATAGTCCACAATCATTCATACTTTCGAAAGTTGTGGTCCGTTCAAGCAAATAGAAGCCATCATTTTGGGGGGAGGCACCAAGTTCAACCCAATCTCGTCTATGGACTTGTAGTTCTATAGTGCCATGTAGCACGTTTTTGTTGCAAAAGTAATAATGTGACCTTTATATCCTATCATACAAACGAGAGATTTTAACCCGAATTTGTGTCTATCCTAGTCTCCTTGAACCAGGTCAGGTGGCAAGTCAAGCCGTGATTTATAAGCAAACCACTTTCTGCGATGGTCTGAATGAGCAGTATGGACTGACATAAATTCAAATTCATTGTTAATTGTATAGTCTCTTAGATATTTGACATTAACTCTTAAGAATAATATGACAAATAGTGGCCGCAGACTCGTGAATAGCAGTACAACTGTTGAGTGTCTCAAATTCAATGCCTAGTTCAATAGAACACATCACGCCAGCTTGCTGAGCCTAGTTACCATGTCCAGCTGGAGAGCACTGGGACGCATTTTCAGTATCGGCATTGATCAAACCACTCAGGCCGTGCTGTATTATAGGCGTTTATTCGAAGAACTTGAAGCCATAGCCAACGTTGTCATTATCACCAGGGACATTGGCACGGTGGTACTTCACGCTACCCCACCACACGAAGCTGCCAGTGTACCAGTTTCTAGCACCCCATGAATAGCTCGTGCCCTTGGGTACTCCGTGGAAGACAAATGGGATCCGGTTGGAGCCACCTGGACTCTTCCGGACATCGCCACTGTCCAGTTGGAATGTGTGGGAACCAGGGCCATTGATAGAGAGGGTGGCATCCCAACCACTCATCATATCGGCTTGGTTCGAACCGAAAAGGCATCCATTAGACTTGTACCAATCCCAAACGTAGGTAGGGTCACCACCCTTCCTGAGGCGGATTTCACCGAGGCAGTACTTATCGCTCCAGCTACCATTAGCGGAGTAAACGATGTGCAGCTGGCCATTAGGATCCACGATTGCTGTAGGAGCCTCGTTGACCTTTCCGACTGTCTGTTCCCAGGGTTCCTTGGGCTGGGAGATTACGTAGCGCCCCCCGGTTGCAGTAGTTGGGCTGCTCATCTTGCAGATGTAAAGGGTTTGCATCCCATCACCTCCAGCAGTCCAGCCGGACCAGACCATCCAGCGTTGGCCTTCGAATGTGAAGACAATACCGTCAATGGCAGGGCCGTCACCTGGGAGGTTGATCTTCGTCTCGGACGAGTACGTGCCCTGCGGCGAGTCGGCACCTATTGATACGAATTAGAACAATATATGCCATCCAAGGCAAAGATAACCACTTGCTGATGTAATACATCCGATGTGCGTCGCTAGCACCACCGGTGAAATAGATGTACGTCTTCCCCCCATCAATCATGATCTCGGGAGCCCAGATATTGGTCAACCCATTCTTGTCAGACCATACATATTTATTCTCCGCGGCATCACCACCCAGGTCAGTTATGGCGGCAGCCTTCCGGACGCAAATGCTGGAGCTGCCGCAGGTTCCGGCGGAGTAGTAATAGCCATTATATTTCATAATGGAAGGGTCAGCGCCGCCCTTGATTTTCGTCGCGGCCTCGACCTGGCCAAGAATGGCGGAGGTTGCCAAGAGGCATGTGGCATAATGCCGTCTAAGGAACGAGAGTGGAGACAGCATCTCGTAGTATTCTCTAAATAAGAGGTCACAATTGCATCGACGCTCGGGCTATGGTGTTGAGGGAAGGCGGATGCTTTATATAAACGGCCATCCACTCTCCTCCACGCGCCCATGTGGCGATCCCGTCCAATCCATACGGCTAAATCCACAATTAGTCTACTCTAAAGGAAAAGCGGCTTCTCGAGTGGGAGAAAATGACAAGCAACCTTCCATATCGAGGACGTGTGGTATGGACCAAGGGGCCATAACTGCACGCCAACGCAATGGATGTCAGCATGTGGACTGAAGCAATCTCGCAATGCACGCAGGCCAAGTTTTCTGGCCAAGTATTTTCTCCTCGTAATTCCAGAAGAGGAACTGGCCGATATTAACATGACATGTGGGTCCAATGAGCGAGGGGAAGTACTTACACGAGGTGTGGTTGTCTGTCACGTTCTCTGCATATTACTTTACCGATAGGTCAATCTCGGGCCACGCTAGTTTTTAAACAGAAGCAAATGAGACGATCGCCTATTGTGGTAAAAGCCGAAGACATGTAACGTATCTGACAGGATCGCAACCAGACTCTTTTGGGGTTCCAAGGTACAGACGAATGCAAAATGACGAATCTCAAATGGTGCCCAGACGTGCTTTCGAATCCTAAATGGCGCTTTTACGAAGCTATTACTGCGTAGTATGCGGCGTCATTTAGATAATACCAAGGAAGCGCAACGTATGAAGACTCTCAGCAACAAGGTACCTTGTCTTTCAAGTCGCTGAAATCCATGGGAGCGTCGTGATTCCAGATACATTGTTGGCTTAAAGTATAGAGAGTCCTTAAAGGGAAATCCGGCTGTCTTCGATACCAATTCACTCTTGAATAAAGCCGTAGCTGCAGGAAGAAAGGCCCCAGAAAAGGTCACGCAACATGCAGCAGCCCTGCCAAGCTCAAGCTGAGAGATTTCTATAATTAGAAACAGAAGGCCTCTCATCGCATGATTAGCCCAGAACATCTACCAAATCCCACTGACAGTGTTTACAACTTTGAGTGACAACTAAGCCATGTATTTCTCCGATCAATCCGAAATGAAGAAAATTGAGCCACGTTCAAGTCTTACCTAAATCAATCGATGTGATTACAAATTTCCGAGGCTAACTGAAGTAAAAATTACCTAGTCGCTTGCGTCTCAGACAGCCCTAATGCCGTTATACTCAAAGGCAATGATAACACAAGATCACCATGAGGAAGAGTTTGGTATTCCTTGGAGCTAATATCGTCTTGGATTCTGGATGGCAATTCTATTCAAACTCAGAATATTGGTAAGTCATAATCCCAACTCAGAATGACTCATTTGGAACTTGGATAAGGCTCGACTCCGGCAAGCCTAAGGAGCTTGGCACTCAGCTCTGGCTTGTTCTTCGGCTCTTTCCTTCGAGAATCGACACTTCCGTCCGGATACAGAGGCTCATTCGATCGAATATTAATATTGTCATGTGGCCAGTGTGTGGTGGCTGACCACTGACGAAAAGCGCTTCTCTTCGCCTCCAAAGCCTCTGCAGATGCGAATGAGGAAGGCGCATATGATACATAGGTTATTGTCCTAATAACAGAGCTCTTTTCGGTCGGCTCAGCCCCGAAATGCACAAGCCTTGAGTCCCATATGATAAGATCACCTGGCCCCGCCACTACTTTATACTCCTTGAAGCCCTTCCCTTCAAACCAAGCAAGTTGCTCTTCCGAGTAGCGATACCAGTCTTTACGCTGCCAAGATGCTCGATCGGTTTGGGTTTGGAAAAACTCTTCGGTTACTTTGTGTGTGCCTGGGTATATCGTGAGGCCGCCATCATCGGGTCCAGCCTTCGAGAGATTCACAATGCCTTGTACACACTGTAGCCCTTCGCGTAAGGGAGATTGGTCGACATGCGGCCATTTCTTGCGAGGGACATGCCCTGGACGGTGTGGTAATGTAATGTTCAGAGCATCGAAGGAGACAAGCAGTTCGTCTGTGCCCCAGATCCTCGCGAAGACATCAATTATTCCGGGCTCAAGCCGTATGTCCCACATGAAATCTTCGTGCACCACACCGTAATGATTGAAAGTGTTGATCTCGGAAATGAAAGGTAGATTTGAAGGCGTCCATGTCGACGGAGTATTGAGGTCCAGCTCGGGATTGTCGAATGACTTTAACCATTCAAATGCGGAATGCTGGTACTTCTCAGCCTTCTCTTTGGAAATGACCGAAGGTATAACAGCATATCCATGCTCAGTAAAATGTTGATACCAATCAGGAGACATGGCGTAGTGAATGTTTCTGCCTTGCCAAATATTGAGCTACCAAATGCAGCCAACTAAAATGTGTAAGCTTCCAGCAGCAGGGCCGTTTCAAGATATATCGAGCTTGTCAGCGTAGCCCACTCAGACAACCATTTTGTGATCTGCATGGGTGGTGGCGTCATATGAATGCCGGGAATTTAATTTGAACACCGCACTAAACATCGCGGTAGTGAGTTATTATGCTGATTTATTCAGTCCAGGTAATCACGAGTAATACTCTAATCGTGAATGAGACCAAGATTGGCGAGCAAAAGGATGCAGCGGATGAAGAAGAGTGTTCCAACTGCTCCGTCGAGCAAAAGCCTAATTTATATCCGCTAGTCTACTCCTCCTAACATACGATCGATGAGTCTGGCCACCTCTATCATGCCAGTCCAAGCCGTCCACGTTGCTGTCCTTGACATTTCCCTTGAGCGCGTAAATCACTTTGCGCTATCAGTTTCATCTGACTCGGCCCTTTCTGCGTTCTCAAAGCCTTTCCCAGTCCCGACGGTGCGAACAACGAAGTATGTTGGGATGACTGCAACAGCCCAGAGGCCAAAGTTTACACCCAACGCTGCAAGTAACTGATGTGATCATATTAGCAAGCGAACTAACATTGGCCTAACAGGTTGCCCCTTACCGGTGCTTTGGTAGAGCTAATTCCTGATGCAACAGCTCCACCAGCTGCCTCTACAGCACGAACGGTCGAAGTCAGGCGAACGATCTCGGCCGGATCCCTTGCCATGTAACCCGCGAGCCAGTACCCGTAATTGTAGGCAAGGGCACTTTTAAATCGTCAGTTGGACAAATCTCTGGATTTGTAGACAAATATATACTCACAAATTCACCTGCAGGATAATGTATAACGCCCATCCGCGGCCAAAACCAGCGTCATCCCAATCCAAAGCTGGTTTATGGAGGCCGTACTCATGCTGCACAACTGCTCCCCAGACCCAGGTACCGCCAAAAAGCGCCATCATGAAGACGTATGCAATTATAGCGCGTTGTCGCAACGAGAAGCGTTTCCAATCAAGGAAGCTTCCGAACAGGATGTTGGCCGCTATCTGAGCCAGAGCAGACACAAGGGAAGCCAATGCTCGCGATCTGACACTGAAGTAAAGGGACAGGAAAGATCCAGCATAGGACAACAAGAAGGTGGCGTAGAAGAAAAAGGGAACACTGGGAACATAGGGTTAGCGTAAGAAAAGAAAAAGTAGTAATGAAGTCAACCCATATCGGCTTACACTAGGAGGAAATCCTTGCGGAAAAGAATTTTGCCAACTTCCTTCAGTTCTTCCAAGGTATGGATCCTTTCCGCGGTTTCGACAGCTTTTCCGTCACTTCGTTGAACCTTGTCTGCCGGTGACAAGAGAAGTGCCACAAAAGGGGTAATACATTCTGCGTTAAAGTAAGCAACGAAGTATCAACATGTTTGATCGCAAAGCTTACGAAGAGCAACAAAAACGAGATACGTTCTCCAGTCCAGCTTTCCAGTCGCTTTTCCAGTGTAATCTGTAGCATTGGATTTGTTAGTTTTCGTCTCTCAAATTCCCTAAAGGGTTCAGCAACTGACTGAAAGCGAGGTTAATGATGCCACCAACAATTGAACCGCCCTATTGTCAAATATTAATCTACCTAACGCAGAAAAAGATTTCAGCATATGCCTACATTACGGTATGCAAGCCAGTAGGCCAAGTATCGACCTCTTTGAGAGTCAACAGGGTCTAGAAAACGTCAGTACAGATATTGCTGCTAGTGTCGATAGGCGTACGCACAGCTGATCATGATGGCACCTTCTGCGGCCCAGAAAATGCCAGCAGTAATACCGCAAGCGGCAGCTCCGAAATAGACAAACCACTCTGTCCCGTATCGGTTATTGGTATATAAAGCTGCAGCGTAGATACAACTTTAGATAAATTGTTAGCCCTGCCTTTCAAGTTTCCTGGATCATAGTATGTACTTACTAGCCCGTGGTACCAAAGATTAACGCATTCTTCAAACCGATCCTGTTGGCAACCACACTTCCAAGCGAACAAGTGATGACCATCATAACTCCGAGAACTGCATTCGCACCCCTGTTTCAAAACCGTTAGTAACCTATGTGGTCGGGGACAGTCTGAGTATTCTAACATGACAAGATACGGAGTCTGTGCTCCGCCAGCTCCTGTTGATTGCATTGCATTGTAGAGGCCTGGTGCAAGGAATGCACAAAATCCCACAATAGTCGCCTGGAAGAAAACCCGACGATACCATATTCGTTTCACAGGTAAACTTGCAGAGCTGGGAAGCTCTGCGATTATTTCTTGGACTCCGATGTCGTTACCCATGCTGAACGCGGATGTCACCTCACGGTTTACTTAACTTTGGGTATTCTCTTTGATTCATCAAACCACAGAATTGTCAACAACACGCAACAAATCTTGCCGTGCTAGCTTTATATAACTTCGCTTCGTCGTCTTGGGTGGTTTTCTCTAGCCTCGCTCTTCAAAACAAGTCGCCGCAGATAATTTCGGGGTCTAATTGAGCAATATCAGAGGTCAGACCGGCGGTCGATGTCCGCTCTCCACCTCGAGTACTCGATCAGTTTATTTCATTGGGCGCCAAAGTCAGGGTTTCTTCCCGCCATCCATTTAAAGTGACATTGTTTGTGAAACGTATCGCAGTGGTCTCCATAAGATATAGATACTGTGGGCTTGTATGGCCTATTGAACTTCTTCGCGTGTCGAAAGGTGGAAATATTTGCGGGACTCGACTCTGGTGCGATATTCGCGTGTATGAGGTGCTCGACACTCAACCATTCCTCAGCTCCGCTTATGAAGAAACCCCACGCAACGACATGGGTGATTCAGGAGTCAAGGCGGAGTTCTTTCCTGATTCTCCGAGTATATCAACCGTACCTGTTCCGACAAAACTTATCTGCGCTGTCTAGATTACGCTACATCATTCCCACTCTTGCCTCATCCATCGATCCACAAATAGCCTCAATACTCATTGAGCCTCTCGTTTTGAGGTCAAGGGCCTGTCGTGTAACTATTAGTCACAATACGGTTATTGAGGCTCGCTTATGTCCCCCAGCAATATTCAGTGTCTCTTCTCTTCAGACACTTCCGTGCCCAGCATTGGCTTATCTGCCGTGCCCCTTACCTACAAAAAACGAGTACTCTATCTATAGCAGGGTTCTCAGATCTTGATAAACAAACAGGAAACGTTGATTATCCCCAAACCTCATATCTTCCTCCCCCTCGTATTCATCCTGCCCTTCATCATTGTGTTAACAGCAGTCACCATATCCCCCATTATCCTCACTAACCTACCAAACCATCGTCATCCCAATCGTGATTATTCCCGAAGGCCTCTCCAAAATCGCCACATCTTTATCTCCACTTGCTTATCAGTTGATCTTAGAGCACCCGGAGGCAAATATCCCGGACCATCTAGTTGCGAGACGCTAGACTAATCAAAGCCAGGGTGAGCATATTAAGCATCATCGGGTAGCGGCCGAGGAGGCTCGTTTGCGAGTGAACCAGTATGCCCTCATCCTGCGTTGTTCTTCCCCCTTGTTATGTTGGCAATGACCAGGACATCAGCCCTGGTGGCGTAGGCAGCTTAGATCCAGAGTCATCGAAGCCGACATCCTCCTCTGAGTTTGATGTATCCGTATCAGTGTCCCAACTATCGTCAGATATTCTCCAGTCGCTCAAAAGACTGTCTATACAGACGCCATCAGGGAATACTATCTACGTGCTAGAATCACTATCGGAATCAGAACTGCTGTCAACGTCTGACCCAGATGATGAGCTGTCATCGGTCTCTGATTCAGAAGACAAGCTGCTATCGGTGTCTAGCCAAGATGATGAGCTACTACCACTATCGGATGCAGATGATGTGCCAGAGGAAGAACTATGGAATGAACCGATAGAGGATAGGCTCAGGGATGAAGTTGACGAAGAATTAGGAGAAGAGGTGTAGTCGGTGTCAAACTCGCTCTCGAAATCATAAATATGCCCGTAAATCCAAAGAGCAGTCATGGCAGCGCTTGTGACAACTCCAGGAGGGGCGGCGGCCGAGTTTGAGGTAAACACATAAGCCTTCAGGTGGGTAGGATTAAATTGGTTATCGGTAGATTTTTTAATAAGAGCACCCCTGGTTGAAGTTGTCTGCGATGCTGAATCGTGTGATGTTGAGGTAGCATCTTCAGAGGTGAGGCCACTACTTACTGGTGCTAAGAAAGGAGGCGTATTTGCTTCAGGCGAGGCTTCTGCTCCCGAGTTCGTTTCGATCGGGGCATGGGTGTCGAATGCCTGGGACACCAGCACCGGCTTTTCTGGCGGTCCGTACATTTCCATTGCTTACTGCACTCTTCGACAACTTCAGAATCCCGAATAACTAAAGCTTCCTTGATCGAGGCGGTTTCGTACTCGAACATGCGGCAGAGCCAAGTTCTACTATAATCACTGCTACGACCTTGCTAGATAAAAAATGCAACACGTCATATCGGTTCCAATTTGTGGTGGCACCGCCAATGCCTCGAGGTGCTGCAGCCTTACTCAAAGGTACCACGGCCTTTTCCGCGGATCCACGACCTCTCTCGTGTCACTGCGATATTTCTTGGAGCTCGCTCGCTCTTTTCAGATGGTGCGGGAAATTTCACTCGAGGCGTATCCCAGCTAGATTGCATCAAAGGTATAATATCGTATTATTCAAAAATCTAGCAAATACCGATACGATAGCCTATGAATGATACGACTGCGCCGTATACAAAGCCCAATATCTAGCTTTACACGTACCTAAACTCTCCCTCTCGAAGGCATCACATGAAACTCTTACTCTGCTCTTCGTTCCAACTCCAAAAAGCTGCTGCAACTCCAGTACCTCCTTCTTCCTTTGTCTTGAGACTTGCCAGGATGGCTTTCTTCGGGTTTGGATGCCACCTACCAAAGGGTATGGCAAATCTACCTCCATCCTCGCACTTCACTTCTGGGCTCAGACCGGCCCATAGCTCCGTATAAGCCCCCATCTTCGCTTCATACATGAAAAACCCCATCATCGTCCTCATCAGCCATGGTGCTGCGTCCCAACCTTTGGTTTTCAGAGTTCCTGGGCTCTGAGCCAAGCTAATGATGCCTTCAATGCGAACTCGCCTGTCCAACTCGGCCGCAAGCATCCAGTTTCCGGCCTTCGACGCACTATAGTTATAGTCCTTGTTCTTAGGGTGCTTCCCAGGCTCAAGCTCAGCGAGAGAGACTCCGCCTGGAGGGCCGGTCATGTCAATAATTCCAGATGAGGCCCAGACTATACGTACGCTTCCCCGAGGAGAGCTACGCGCTGTTGCTGAAAGTACTGGTAGCAAGAGTTTCGTTAAAAGAAAGGGCCCGAGGCAGTTGGTGGCCATGTGAAGTTCATGGCCTTGGGCGCTCGTGCTGCCGATAGGTGCTTGGCTAACCCCTGCGTTGTTCCAAAGGACATCGAGGCGCGATTCTCGGGCAAGGAAGGCCGAGACGCAGGAGGAGATGGTAGATAGGTCGCTAAAGTCGACGACGAGACTTTGAAGTTCGCCGGGGGTTGTGGTCAAGCTAGTGCTCTTGATGGAGTCGATGACAATAGCGATTTTAGAGGCTGATCGGCTAGCAATGTAGATTTTGCCACCCTTAGAGTAGAGGATTTTGACAAGCTCGAGACCAACTCCTGCATTTCCCCCCGTTACCAGAAACACTTTGCCTTGTAAAGCAGGGACATGTTCTTCAGTATAGGTTGGGGGTGGAGGAAAGAGTTGTGTGAGTGCGTCTCTCATTCTGACATTGAAAAGGGGTTGTTGCTAGATTGATGGCAAACAATTAAAAAGAGAGAAAATTTCAAGGAGGAAAAAATCGAGAGCAAGATTAAAACTAATAAGAGATGTCAAGGAGTTATGAGGACAAGGTTTCTCTTGTCCTGTCATTGACTGATCCACATGCGCTTGTAAACAGTAAGAATGTCAGAAACCCACTGTCAGGCTGATTATATGTCACCTTTCAGTTGCAGTGGGCGATACGGCTAACTCCAAAGCCTCTTCTCCCCTCTGAGCCCTCCAAAAATTGGTTGACTGCATCACCTTCTCATCCATGAGAAACCACCATTTCTTGGCAAAGACAGGTCCGACTTCCCATCCGAGGGGGTCCCAAGGCAATCGGCCCCAGACTCTCAGGTCACTGGACGACATATCTTGTACAAATTCCAGCTCGTTGATCGTCGACAATGACTCCAGCATCCGATCACGTAGAGAAGGCCATGGTAACATATCAATGTAGGGCATATGGGGAACTATTTGCTGTCGTGCAGTTGGCGCAAGAGTTTGTGGCAATAGCCACGTAGCAGCACCGACATTGAAACCAGATTCTTGCAGACATACCAACTGTAGAATATCTGCTATGCGGAAAAAGGCTGCCGAGGTTTTCATGTCCTGCATTATGATATAATGCCCATCCCTTGTGGGGTCAAGTGACTCTCGATCGTGGCCCGGAGGCATGGAAACCAATGAGGTGGAACTGATCAGGTCGGCAGATGAACTCTCGGTATCATGGTGGGTCGTTTCATCATCTTGATCAGTCGCGCTCTTCCGGTTACCTTCCTTATTCGAGCAGTTCTTGCGTTTCTTGGGGATTTTTGATCCTGCCATAGTTGAATTTCAAGGTAAGCCGTGCTACCCCTATATGACAGATTGCAGGGATGGACCTACGTCTAGCTCGCTGCGCAAGTCGATTTTGGACGCGTTTCCGCTCTGCAGGGTCGGCGATTGAGGTCCAGTCGTCTTCCGAGGACTTCATGTGCGGTTTCCAGGCAGCGTCCATTATGGGCATTTCAATTCGGCCACTGTTGACTAGTTGAGTTGAGCTCACTCTGGGAGTGATCATGTGTAGGGAAGCCAGAAGGGTGCTAAAGCTGCGCTATTTTCTGACACTTTCTGACACTTTCTGACGCACTCTGACGAGCTAAGACAGGTTATGAAGATGAAGACAAATATAGCAGAGCGCCTTGCTGAATAATGTAAACATTAATGAAATAAGTAAAGAACTTAAACATGAATCAAGTAAAAACGAAAGAAATCTATCAATCTAATTATCCAGGCAAACTCCAGCCCTCTTCTCATTCATAACACCCTTAAACAAAGTCCTGTTCAAAAGGCAGTACCAGTAACTATTTCAGTCAATTTTTCAAGGAACAGTGTCTTTCGTAGGTAGCGTGCCACAAAAGTCGGAATACGCCAGTTTCCGTAATGACCAGTGCCCATATCTTTACCAACCGAAAGTCCCATCATTGCTGTACAGAAGTAATAAATTAGAGTTGAGTAACTTGTCTCAGAATAGAGATATTGCTTACGCGTGGTTGCTTTCTTATAGGCCTGGGGCGCCTGATTTTGCAGGATTCTAATCAGGTTTTTGGCGAGGTGGGCAGATTGGTACTCTGCCTTGATCCATTGCGATTGCTCCAAGTCTGAGACGTCTCCAATTGCCCAAATATTTTTCGTTCCAGTGACCTGCAAGAATTCATCCACCTTGACGAATCCTTGTGATGTGAGAAATTTCGCAGGGACGTACGAAGAGTTTGGGGCCAGTCCGAAGGTGGGAATGTAAAGGTCGGTCGTAATGGTCGTGCCACTGGATAGGATGATCTCATATTGGCCGTTGCCTCCAATTACTGACTCTTTGACTCTGGATTTGAGTTGAACCTCTACTCCGAGTCTTTGCAATTCCTTGGTTGCGATATCCGAATTGACTTCCAGCATGTCTTCAAGGACCCGCGGGCCAGGTGCAAGCTAATAAAAGAAGGGCCGCATTAGTCTTTCCTAATCGAAGCCTGAAAAGGGGTTCAGCACCTACCAGAATTATTTTCTTCTCTTTTCCAAAGGCTGAGCCAAGTTCGCCAGCAACTTCGACCCCTGTTACACCTGCGCCAGCGACAATGATGGACTTGGCTGCCTCCACTCGAGCCTGAAGATCTTTCAACGCACTTCGCGTTTCTTCTGTTGTGCCAATATTTTTGAAAGGTGAGCTATCCAGCGTTCTGGAGCCTGTAGCAAGAACCAACATGTCGTATGCGACCGACTTCTCCTTTTCAGCGCAGCGAACTGTAACGGTTTGCGAAGCCTCATCGAGGCCCACCGCCGTACCCAGGACGAGCTCGAAGCGGTCAGAAGAATACTGTTTGAATCCTGATTTTATCTCGAGAAATAGTTCGTCTTTCTCGTAGTTACCCGGAATAAGCCCTCGCGGAGAAGCCAAATTCCAGTACATGTGTGAATTAGGAGTGATCAGGGTGACTTTGACGGAGGTTGAGGTTGACGCTGACTTGAGTAGCCTCTGGGCGGTGCTAACTCCAGCATGCGATCCCCCAATAATTACAATATTTTTGGCCATGGCGGGAGCTGGTATTGAATAGATGGGTGAAGTGTGTGAGTGGTAATGAGATTGAAGCTTTCTCTTCATCTATGTTCAAGGCTCACATTATATACAAATTAGGCTCCCAAGGATTCCCACTTCGTACACTTTCTACTGCCATGGGAACGGATTCGCCCGACTCAGGACCCTTTACTTTTGCCCATTCACTTGTAAAAGTCGCCGATGATTCAACCATGGGAGATCTCAAAACCGACATACCTGTCCAATCAGAAGGCTAGCCGCCAGCTCAGCCAATCACAGACATTAGCGCTGAGATGCAGCTTCAACCAATCAGATTTATTGCCGCCGGGCTCCGCCAACCGTGTTTTGAGGAGCTGAAGCTGAAGCGCCTCTGACAAATGAAATTGCGCAATAAGGAGGCCGTTCTGAAAAGTCCGCACGGTAAATTTCCAAGGTCCGCGTGCTGACTTCAATGCTGAGGCAATAGCTGTCATACGACAGAGATCCTTTTCGTCCAGCATTTCAAATCGCCGTCTTAGTGCTTCCTCTTTTTTTTTTCCGCCGTCGCCAAAAATACGCATAGGTCCGGCATAATCCATTCCCCATCTGGAATTGGCTGATAAATCTTGTCACATTAACTTAATAAGACGAAGAAAACTGTGCCCCAGACGATGGCATCTGACGATGTCGCATTAGTAATCTGCCCTGGATGTTCCAGACCTTTGCCTTTTGACCATTTTTTTGGCCCTAGGCAAGGTTATCCCAAGATCAGGCACAAACACGTGATTTGTGCAAAAGAAGGGGTTTTTTTTTCGCAGACAGTTAGCGGTCCATACCCAGACTTTCCACAGAATTAAAGGTTAAATAATACACTTTCAGCCTGGGTAGAGGCCTCAACACCTCAAAAACCCTAACAATAGGAGCCATTTACGCAGCCAGATATATGAACCCGGGCGTGGCCCTGACCCCTAGGGGAAGCTCGTCGTCCATTAGCACAGCAATCACTTTTCCAAGCTCGTGGTCGTTGTGTTAATGGACGACGAGTTTCTTCTAGGGGTCATGGCCACGCTCGGGTTGTTACTATTCCGATCCGTGGTCCATTTTTAAGCCTACCACGCAGTCATGTTAATTCCATGTGTATCACAAGACCCAACCTGTGAAAGAGCATGTTGTGAGCGCTCCGAGACGCATGTTGTCTGTTTCCTGTACGGGCAGCAGCCAATCTGCAGCCTTTGTATATTGTGTCTTCTGGAATGCCTCTACTTCTCGCATTCTTCCGTTGTGATGGTGGGCGAAACCGGCGCGTCGCGTAATTTTGACGCGTAGCCGCTCACCCCTTGAAATGACCTACCCTATAGTGCTACCAAGGATTGAGTATGGAAGAACACAACAATAGTGTACATTTTATCATGTATGCTCCCGTGATTCTACCATTTCCCATTACCTTAGCTAAAGGCAAGATTTTGTTGCATTTTAGCTAGGCTTTTTTTCTGTCGAGGTTGCGGATGGAACAAATTGCACCTTCATACACTCCCATACATCTGAAGATGAGCCTCGTCGACTACGCGAGTTGAATCTCTACGACATTCATCTTAATCACAACTCGTCATAGAAACTGGACAGAGTTTTGCGTACGATGTGTTCGCGTATCTGAACGATTTCAATGGAGCATTTTGCGCCCTTCAGGTCCGGCGTGGTTGATATTTTATATGCATCTTGTAGAATTCTGCTCAGACTGATTAACTATATACCTTTGAGAGCAAAGCTTATGGTTAACATAACATCAGTTTGATTTGTCACGAGTGTAAACTCGTTCATAAAATTTCTTTACATCGTGGATATCTGAAAACAACCTCGTGCGAAATGAAGACAAGCAAAACACCATATTCAACATGATCTTAACATTTTGCTAATCTTTCTTGCTATATGTAAAGTGGTATCAACAACGACTGGAAACAACAATGAAATAAGCCACAAATATCCTCATCCAATATTCATTCTCGCTAAGTCTTCTCCGGAATTAGGCGGTGCGGTATTGCGGCGCGCCGCCGTAGGTGGCCTTGTGATCGACGGCTGGGTCCAGCCTGTTCATCAGGTTGCTGCGATGCGGACCGGCAGTTTTTGTCGCGGGACCGGGCTGCGGAACGCCGCCACGAGGCACTGAGGCTGGCCCACGCATCCCACCGTGTGTCCTGTGGTCCAGGCCAGGCTCCATTCTAGGGTCGACAGTGTCCCCCATCCTGGTCGTGTGGTGGCTGTAACCAGCGTCAGCTCCATGCATGACGTGCCTGTCTGCCCTTGTGTCTACTCGAGGGTCCACGGTATCTGCAACCCGGGAGTTGTGGTGCGGTGCTGCAGTGGTGTAGTTTCCAGCTCCGGCGGTCATGGGCTGCTGCGACATGGCGTTAGGCTGGACGCCAGGCCCGATGAGCTGGACGCCTCCGGAACGGCTGTCGACCGTGGGATCGAGCTTGTTGAGCAAGTCATGACGGTGGGGGCCAGCAGTGTTGGGAGCTGGGCCTGGATGGTGGGCGTTCATGCCTGGTGCATGGTGGCTGCTGACGGGAGCATGGTGGTTGCTGACGGGAGCATGGCCGGCAGAACTGACTGGGACTGCCGTTCCGTGAACATTGTTGCTGGCCATGGGAGGCGCAGCATGGTGATGGTTCTTATGCAGAAGGCCCATGATGTGATAGCTTGTAGTAGTCGTTCTTGTGAGTGAGGTTGTGTATAATTGTAGAGTGGAACGAAGTTGCTTTCGAATTTGTGTTGAAGAGTAGCAAGAGGTCTTTCATTTTGGCTTCTACTTCCTTACATTATATACACATTATGGTGAATGGGATCCCGGGACATCACGATTTGAGATGTATAAGCATGGAAATTGATAAACGCTATGATTGCAATGATTACGTCCCAGTGCACTCCAGATTCACAAATGGGACCATGCTTTTCGAGAATAAAAAACTTGACGTAACCAATAAGCATGCAGGGATTTGCACATTTCAGAATCTCCAGCTTTTAGCTCGCCTTCAACGGCTTGTTATGTGGTTCAGCCACAGATCAAGGATGTCGGTCATCGGTCTTACGTCATGGATTTTGTGGCGCGATCGTCAGAGTCTGGAAAAAGGTTGTCATAATTGTGGCGGCGATTGTCGATCACTTCTAACAAGAGGTCCCATGATCGTCCCTGGCCAAGGATGGAACAAACCAATGACAGCATCCTGACCTCATTTCTACAGATCTGTGTATTTCTCGCTAAGTTGACTGCTTGGTTTAATGGATTCAACTTGTCACATTATAAGCTGGGGAATCTCAGTATGACGTCTTGCTGCTGGAGATGTGAAGCCGTATAGCCGTACTCTTTCTCACGTCAGTCATTGGCGATGTTTAAACTTTGACGCAACTCTTGAGAATTTCTCTTCGTGTGGAAAAGGGAGTCTATGTACAGCCGGCTTCATCCACCCACAAGAGCACTCAATTTTGGTCTATGAGTGTTTGGGTTTGCCGCCTGTGTATAACAGACATCGAGGACGGGACAATTCACCGACCTATACAATCAACTTGAATGAAAGCAAGTCAGATGAGCTCGCTTGTAAAAACATGGATAAGCCTTGAAGCGCAATGGTGGCCGAGAAGACTCTCGGCCGGACCGATGCTTACGTTTGGGTCCAAAGTTCCAGATAGAGACGAATTATGTCTTGGGTTATGATTGAAACCAATTTCCGAGACTTTGCTCATTTGTCATATGGGCTCGTTTTACTTGGCAAGCTTAACAGGTCTCCGTTGAATGTTTATCATCTTCACTGGTTTCGCTATGGCATTCATCTCTATGCCAGTTATGATATTTTAATGAGATTATCTACTATCAGATATAGAATATCTATTAATAAAGAGATCCTATTAACTATCTGTCGAGAGAATCTATTATATAAGTTATGCGAATTGAAATAAACTGAGGGTTATGGACAAAGAAAGCCTATACCCGGATAGACCGAACAATTCAGCTGGGCTTCTTCTTCTCTTGCACACCATGCAATATAAACTACTCCTCGCTCAGTGTTGCGGAACAGGGAAAGTAATATGGCCTGTCTGAAGGATCATCAGAATACAGAGCATTCAGGTTCTTTCGTGCCTGTGCAGAGTGCAGATCGGTAGCGTGAAGACATATGGAGCTCTAATGTCAACATCTGCCAGGTTTTCGATAGTGTCTCCCCATTCCTCTAGAGATGTTTTGTTGTTGTAAGATTGTCGCCCATCTATGTTGTAACCGGATCTCTTGTTGAATGTAGCGAGGGAACTAAATAGAAGAAACAAGTCAGCGGATTCCAATCTTTGTTCGTGACAATTCTTCTCCATTCGCGATGATGAGTTTTGAGGCTCGTGCGAGCGATGGATGATTGCCAATTGATGAGCTCCAGGAGATTCGGAGACCCAACTCTTGCGGAAAATTGACCTACCCCAGTACAATATCTTCTCTTGAAACATTACCATAGACACTTGCACCCAAGACATCCGATCCGGGCAAAGCCTTAAAGTCAGGGCACCCGAAGATTTTACTGCAAGAGCCTCCAGGATCTTCACTTGAGAGCAAGATATATTTGCGATCGGTGCTTGTGTCGCAAACCACCTCAGTCTTAAAGGCATCCTCATCAATCCCGTAAGAAAGGTCAGTGTCCGAGAGGTCTACGCTGCAACTCATCTTGCTGTCAATGATACTGAATTTTGTTATTAGCCTATGCCATATGTGCCAAAGTAATGTTTAATTGAAGGGTGCTTGCTCACAAAGGGTTGAGCTCTCTTTCCGAGAGTTTTCAGGCCATAGGGATTAATAATGAGTAGAGTGGCCTCTCGAATCCGCCTGACAGCTCGTCGGTACTTATTGTTTTCAATTCAGGCGAAATCAGCTTCCAACTTGCCAAGATCTTCGTAAGAAACTTAGTAGGAGTGTCGTCGCCACTCCAAATGGTCGCCGCGTAGTTGGTGAGTGAGTTCCGCAACGCAGTGATCATCGCACCAGCTGTCAGTTCCTCGCTGCTACTCGCCAGTATGTCTTTAGCCAGAGCCACGCATTGATATGTCATGTCATTGACAAAATCCTTCACAGTGTCGAAATCGTTGGCATTTCTTGTTGCCCAGTCGATGTTCTTTATCCAGCGATTCCAAATCGGGGTTGCTGTTGCCGCATATCAAAGAGTCGCGAGGTCTAGAATGACGAAAATGCTGAATGTCTCTTTCTTGACAGGCGCGAAGGTTTTGGCAAATGTCCCATGTTGGACTTGATGTTATTCTGGGCTACCTCGAGCGCATCATACATATTCTAGAGCATCTGCCGAGACCGGTTAGCCGCTATGTTACCTCTGCCTGACTCAATCAGAAGGACATGTTCTCATCCCACTTACTGAATTCAATTGCCTGAAAGAATTGAGGTTGAAGAACGAGGCAGGGCCCGCGTCCTGCTCGTTACACTCCTGAGTGCCCTGGCAGTTATTGCTACCAGAGAGTACCTCACAATCCATGTTGCGATTCCCGTCCAGGAAACTAGACACGGTGGCAGCAAATCTAAGGTTATGGCTCTCGTTGTTCTTCTGCACTTCCCAGTCGGCAAGGGTGTCTTCCTATGCCTGGTCTGCCTTGAGTAGATTCCAACTCACAACGCCCTCCAAGCTGGGCTCTGTCACTCCAGGATTCTGGCAATCTAGGTCTCTCCATCCTACGCCGTCGTCGTCATCTTCCTCTCCTGAGAAGGCACGACGGTGCCGCTCTTTGGCTAGCAGCGATTGTGCCACAGCGTGAGGGCACCGCTGTCTGGATTGATGGACACATAATCGGTCCGAGTGTCACCGGTCATCTAACGAAAGAGGGACTTGTCAGTTGGAACAGCTAAGTAGAGTTAAGGAAAGGAGTAAGGGTCAGGCTTGCCTCTGTGATTTGAATGGATCGCCCAACAGGTCCTGGGCCTACCGCGAAGTCAAGCGGCGTGATCCATCGAATTGAGTCGACATCTCAGTACAATGAATACGAAAGGTCAAAAATAAGCTCTACTAGCCATGTGGTGTAGTTATGGAGTTCGACTCTAGGCCCGAGGTCTAGCGATTTGTTCTGTTCTCATAGATCTTATATGTTCAAGAAGGTTATTCATCATCATTGCGTGGCACAACAAACGAGGTTGTTGCGGGTTAATACAATCAAGTCCTATTCACAACAAAGACCAGCTACTAGATTATTAATAGATGTGACGAGATACACAATATATCTAACTAAGATCTTAATCATAATCCAAATTATTGACAGGCAAGATATATCCAGTTATCACGATCTCCCACATGCCATTGTTCTAAAAGCCAGAGCCAGCCACCCAGCTTACGTCGTCGTTGAACGAAGTAGCAGACTCAAATTCCTTGGGTCCACCGTTGCTTGCAGCGTAGCCCAAAGCATTGAAATGTCGGATGTAATGGGCGGGATAGTTCCATGATCGAATTGAGCTGCCCTGGCCATTCAAACCAGCCTGCATGCAGAACGTAGCGTCCTCACCGAATAGCTTTGAGCCATCGTTGCTGTTAACGTAGAGTTGGAAGTTGGAATGGCGAATAAAACTGCCGGGTGTATCTACAGATTCAAAGGAGTAACAGGCGCTGTTCCCAAGACCTGTGCGCACCACCCAGCTGGCCTGCTGTTGAAGCGTCGTGCTGCTTGATGATGAAACGACTTGGGTGTTAACCGCGTCGCCGCTGTGTGCAAGGTAACGTGTCGTGCAGCAGGATGTAGTAGCTCGAAGGGTAATGGTAGATCCAACGGTAAATCCAGGACCACTGTTCATGGCTCCAACGCCATATTTGGCGGCCACGATGTCAGCCTGCACTTGGTTCTCGGTGTCGTCGGACGGATATCCTGTTGTCATTACTCCTTCGTAGAAGGTGCCCTGAGCCCAGTTGCTGTTATCACCGCCAATACCTAGAATAATGGCACCTTCCTTCTGCATCGGGTTATAATCTCCATTTGTTGGGCGGATTCCGCTATAGTAGGTTGATAGTGAGCCTGACACAGAGTCACCGCCGCGGACCGCCCATTGGTTGTTTGTGTTTCCCTTGACAACTGCCGTGACAAAGCGAGAGGTGATGCTCGGGTTACTAGGGTTGACACTGACTTTTGAGTCTGTGTATAGCCCGTTTTCGAGATCAGCGAGAACCCATGGACCATTGCCACTGCCCACGCCGTAGCCGGTACCCAGACCAAAGTAAATAGCTTCCATGTGGCCATCACCAGTATCCAGGTTGTTAGTCTCAGCATTGCCATAATCAAAGCAGCATCCCCCGTTGTAGTGGGTGCCATCGAAAACGGCATACATGCCCTCGGCCTCATCACCTACGGCTGTCCCGTTGGCCTCGTTGTTTCGATAGCCAGTGCCGGGCGAGATGAACACGCCGTATGCCTTCTGACCATTCAAGGTGATTGGTGCACCAATAGCAGTGACTGGGAAATCGTAGCCACCAACATCCCCGCCGCTGGCAGCACCACCTGGTGGAGCTTGGGTAAGGTGACTGTTGTGGCCAGACTGGTCATAGATGACAGTGATGAGGCAAGTTGTCCCGCTGCAGAAAGAGTCTTGGGCAGCAGCGTTGGCAACACCGCCAGCAGAAAGCGGCGATATATCCAAAGTGCCACCGTCAGAGCCACGCTTCACTTGGTAGAGCGGGCCTGAGTAGGCACTATAGAGGCCACGAGTGGTGCTATGTGCAGCTACACATGGCGTACCGCCGGAAGAATAGATGTCGCAAGGACCGGCAGCAACAAGCCCCCCCGTGGCAAGCAGGCCCAGGGTGAGTGTTTGGATGCTGAGAGGCGAAGGCATTTTCGACCACTCCCGGTAGCAGATGGGCAAGCTAGTAAGCGGACTTGGGCTTGGGTAGAGCTCTCGTCCCCTGTTAGAGAGCCATGGCCTAATGTTGAATTTATAGACAATGATACTCGTCACAGCTTAGGAAATATGGCCGAATGGTGAGGAGATGTAAGCTTGCTAATGCTACCTATGAATATCTACTTCCTAAAACGAGCGGTCAGACGATCATCCAATACAACTCAGCCCAACACCCCTGCTGCTACTCTCCATGAATTGAAACCCGATGTGGGCTAATTCTATTGCTTGGAAGAAGGAAACGCGACCCATGTGTGCATCCTGTGGAGATCACTCTCCCCGGATTCTGTTGCCAGCCTGTCATGCAGCGTCAACATGCTTTTCCCACCTTCCTTATGCTCTGTTGTTGACGGCACATAATAGTTCTCCTTCTTGTCTTGGACAGCGGCCAGTTTCTGGTCATTGTCTCCCATGTACGCTCGATTTGTAAGTGCTTGTTCAAGTTACAGCCATCGAATAGACATTAATGGAAGGAATACTTCGATCTCACGTTTCTGTTGTTCCTGTGGAAACAGGATTGGTTCCTATTATCTGAAACTCGGAACATCACACCTCATAGTGCTTACAGGAGGATGAATATAAATAGCACATCCATGCTCGAGGATCGCCCGAGAAATGGTTCGGTAAAACACCCGTTGCAGTTTCATCTGAAAAAGTAGCACATCCCGATCTTGTGTGAGCTAATCAGGGTTCCAATGCTGGGATCCGTATCTGTGTACTCGTGGTGCCACGTTTACCTTGGATGCCCAACCCAGCGGGGTGTCACTGTGAAAATCAGGGCTGCCCGGTATTAGATGTTGTAAGCGGATTTCACCTGGAGCGTGATGGTCAGGGCCCCAAGAGCTTGGACGTTTATCAACCTTGTTGCTTACCACAAAACCCCTGTAGCATAATGATCAGCTGTGCCGAAGTTCCGACTCCCAGGATCGCGCATTTCTTTAGGTCTGTTGACCTTCCTTTGCGTCAGAAACCCCACATCATTTGGACCGAGGTCATCCCTCTTCGGCAGATATTCCGGATAAAGTTGATTGGTGTGCATATTGCGAAAATACCGTGTTCAGCGGGGTTGTCTTCGGGACTTTTAGTTTGGAATATAGTGTTCATGAGGAGATTGCCGACATATCATCACTTCAATGCAAAGGTAGTTGCGAGCTTCTGTGAAAAATCTCTGATAATTTGTGAAGTCTGATATTTAGGAGGAGAGCATAAGGACCAAGCTTTGAAGACGCCAATATGGGATCAAAGTTGGAGGAGATGTTGGAACTGGAACCAGTCCCTGGTGCCGGCAAGGTGAGCTCCAAATACCAATCTGACACACTTGAAGGAGGGTATTCGCTAATGGAAGAGGGAATCCCTATTAGGATACGTTCACGAACAAGCGAGAACTTTGGCATCCCCCGGGAGGCCGAGGAATTTATGGCGGGTAAGGGTTATTTCAGTTAGTGAAATTTCTTCACCTACATATCATCAGCAAAGCTAAAAATGAGTGTATTTCACAGAGTGGTTATAGCGCAATGTCTTGGAGCTGCACAGAAGACTGTCCCGGGCGGATTTTCAGTCCACTCCATGACCTGCTACTTCCTGTTGGCCGGCGATAACCAGATACCCCTGGAGTACTCTGTGCAGCGTGTACGTGACGGGAAATCTTTCGTCACGCGGACGGTAGTGGCAAACCAAAACGGCAACAGCATATGCACAAGCACCTTGTCGTTCACCCGACATGGCTCAGGAGGGGAAGAACCCTTGCGCCATGCTTCTACTGCCCCTTCAGGAATTATTTCACCTCCTGACATCAATGTGGATGCAATGTGTATTTCCTTGGGGGCCCCTCAGACCAGCCCTGTTGGCATCGAGGGGAAAGAGGGGAGTCCTGAACAGAAACGTATCCGCTCCTGGATACGCGCTCCGGCTAAAGTCTTGAACGCCGGTTCTCAAAACGAAGTTCATCAAATGATTCTGGGCTTTCTTTCTGATTGGATATTTCTGCCCGGAGTTCCGCTCGTGCATGGCTTGTGGAAATTCCCGGATGCTATTCTCTCGAACATCATTTCATCGCCATTGGATGGCAGTGATATTGGAATGATGGCCACCTTGAGCCATACCATAATTGTCCACGAGCCATTCCTCATTCGAGCCGATGAATGGATGCTCTTTGAGATTGAGACTCCTTGGTCAGGAGAAGGCAGGGGGTTAGTTAATGGCAAGATATATGCCAGAGATGGGACTTTGTTGGCGACCTGTTTCCAAGAGGTATTTTTCGCCGTGTTTCTTCAAGATATTAACAACTTCTAACTCCATCACAGGGTGTAGTCCGGCGCAGAAAGCAACTGAAAAACAGCGATCAAAGATTATAGAATTCCTCCTAAGGGTCATAGAGTGAAGGAAGATCTCATCATCGTCTGATAGATAAGTTTTCTCAACATTCTACAAGCCTTCATATTGCACCCTGGCTTGAGCTGTTTGAAAATAGGAGAATAGTTGACTTGAAGATAGAGGAGGGAGCTTTAGACTAATAGTCATTTAGAACCCCAATAGATGATAATGCTGGATAGAGGTATTAGAACTCGTGTAGTTCCCAATCTTTCAGATCATTCAACTGTAGGCCTAGTAGTTTAGGTAGCATTACTTGAATTCCAGGCCAATGAGAAGATAATGGCTAGCAGAGAGCAATAACGCCATTTTCTGGAAGGATTTATGGCCTCGCTGACTACGGTTGATTATCGTTTGGGCTAATGATCTAAAAGACAACATACAAGCATACTGACGAACATCTGGAATGAATATTCGGAAGCTAATTCCAAAACAAGCTAAAAAGTACACTGTATGGAATCCGGTGAAGCTCGAGAGCTTGCGAAGACTTCTGGCATCAAATACTATCCGGCTTCGTCGTAGTACTAGGTACAACTCGCTTTTGAATGATTATCAAATATTTGGTGGTGATTTATCGTCGCCTAGACTATGAACCTAAGCCCGTGTTTCTTAGAGATACTTCACAACATCGAACATGTCATGTGCAACAAGGGGGTGATAATGCCAACTGCTGGTGGGGGCTTCTTACATCGCGCCCCCGCTCCAGCCATCCGGGATTCGTCCATACAGCGGCGCGGACCATCCCACGAGCCCTGTCCGTGTGGGCAAGCGGGCTTACAACGCGGAGCAGTGATCAGGCGTGACTCGAGATCTATGTCATCGACGATCATGGATTTAACCTTCTCATAGTTTCATTCTGGCATCATTCTCATTATCAACTAACTGGCTAAGGCGAGATACTCCAGAGTTATGTCAAAATGCGCCTAAATCAGCTCGACCACATCTACCAGCAGTACAAGCATGACACGGAGGCAGTCAGTCTATGGCTCGCTTCCACGGCCAGGGTCTGTGGCTATCCAGAGGACTTGCTTACCTCCAAATCTTGGGGTGTGATACACTCGAGACTCGATCAGTTCAAAGAAGAGAAACGCAAAAAGACCGGCCGTGGTCGAAAGCCAGTGCCAATGCCCTCTCGCGCTCAAGGAAATGAATACATATTGGCACTAGATGACATCCTACCACTGGCCAAATTCATCGCCCAGCGTACCAATCCTACCGTTGCTATGCCCGAGGCCTTCTCGCAGACTCTTGATAGACTCATCTCTCTACGCACCAAATTCAATCAGATCAAGACTATCACAAACACAAAGGCAGATCCAGAGTCTGATAGAAATCATGGGTTCTTCCTCGATGTCCTCAAGAACGTCAGAGAAACTTTGAGGCCCGCACAGCGGTTGAGGAGCCGGAAAAAAGTCCCTAGGCTGAGTCGCAGGCTACTGATGAGAATATTTTGATGGATGCGAGCGACTCGCATACGCACTTGAACCGACAATAGGCTCCAGTGAAATATTCTTTCTTAACTTGCTTGACATATAGCGTTTTTTTACGTTGTTTCGAATATTATCTTCACTTCTTATGTTTCGATAACAGCGGTAGCCGATTATAGTATATAAAAGAACATTTCATCTTTTCGAATCTAATAAGGATATCTTCTTGGCTATGAGGTCCCTAAAATAATCTTCAGTTCCAAGCTTAGACTACTTTAAGGCACATTGGAAAACGCGGCCCGGAACTTCTCCTTATGGCCCTCTAAGAAGGCGTCGAAGGAGCTCAAGGGAAGATTCCAAGTCTTCACATCCTCAATATCAACCTGCTTATGAATATCCCGCATAGTAAGCTGCAGGTAGATGAAGGGGTTTTGTTTCTTCTGGACTTCAATCTCGTCATCCGAGAGGGAAACCAGCTCCAGATTTTTGCCAGCTGCCTTGCCCAACTTATTCAGTAGCTCACCAAGGGAGAGGAGCTCATCAGTGTACGAAATTTCCTTGCCATTGAATCTGGTTGGGTCGAGAATTGCCGCGGAGGCAAAGACCCCGATTGTTTTTGGGTCCACGATTGGGAGCGTTGTCTCTGGAGATACGGGAGCGATCCAACGCCCGTCTTCAGCAAGACCTGGATAATGGGCGACAAAGGGTGCAAGAAAATTCGTCATAGATGTCCCGGGGCGCAAGATAGTAAAGGTCGGGAAGCCAGCGTTGCGTACTTCGGCTTCGATATCAAGCTTGCTTTGAGCCATTGCCGCGATTGGTGAACCATGCTGATCTGCAACGCTTTGTTGGAGAAGGTCGAAACCGATTCCGCTGCCCTGGACTAAATGAGAGACCCCAGATTCTTTGGCGATCCGAATAATAAGCTTGGCCTGGCGCAGTTCTCCAGATGGGTCTGAGAAATTGGGCACTAGGTTTAGGTAGAGGGCCTGTGTGCCTGTGATTGCCGTCTTTAGGGCTTCTTCATTGTCAAAATCTCCATGCCAAAACTTTACACCAAGAGACTGGACAGCTTTAGACTTCTCTGAGTCAAGGTCACGAGAAAGTGAATGAACAGAGACGCCCTTCGCAAGAAGTTCTCGTGCAAGTGCCCCTCCCTGGACTCCTGTAACGCCACAAACAAAGACAGATAGAATAGCCATTTTGATTGATGCCTAGAAGACAATGATTTGAGGAAATTTGAGTCCTTATTATATAACGATTATTACATTGGGACGAACACATCTGCGGTGTTCGTATAGAGTTGCGGACAACGTTGGTGCAGTCTTGCGGACTTTTGTTCCGGGATGAGACGTGGATATTCCTTTGCGGCAGGGTTGGCAATCCAACCCCCCAATGCTGTTATGTAAATATTCGGTGTTTTGGATTAGCCGTGGACAAGTTCTTGACCTGCGGACTGATGCCAACAGATAGACTCGTCAATTAGGATCTAGAGCCCAGGGGGAGGAGACCGTCATCCATCAACGTAACCGATTTGGTCAGAAAGCGGAATACCTTTCTAAATGTGGAAGTCGAAGAGTGAATACCGGACGGAGTTTGCGGAATATTGACCCTCTTTAATCCTAAAGTTGTTATTTACTGAGTAGGTAATTACGGGAGTTGGCAGTAGAGGCTGGGCCCCTATTGGTGATGCTCGTTTCCAGCACACCGACGCTTCACGGCTATCCTGACTAACTACTAAGTCTTCTTCTTCTATAAGTAAAATGACACCTAAAAAGTATTATTAAAATGCCCAATTAAAAGGAGAAAATAGTTTTCTAGATACAAAGTTCTAGTTTTTACCCTTTGCTCAACATATCGATTTACAATCGTATCCAACCTATGGACTACATTAGAACCCACTTCCTACAGATCATTCTACAGCTTACTATGACGCAAGGAAAGTCCGCAGGCAGTCACGTTCAACTTTAGATCCTTGAAATAGCGGAGATGAAAATTTGAGGAGGAGATCCTAGACGGCTGTTCATAGATTCAACGCGTATAAACTATATGCCGTAGCTAGGAAGCCCTCTCTGATTTCCCAAACTCTCTAATTTTGTAATTGGGCCCAAGCACGATTATTTAGCAGCCTCCTCGCGGCCTTGAAGGTTAGGGTGAGCTGCCTTGACGGGGCGGGTGACAGCGTAAAAAGCAAAGCCGGAAGACTTGGTGGAGAACTGTTGGGCGGTTAGCCATGCTTCTAGTCACAACGAAGAGAGCCGCTAGACGATAATAACATACCTGGACCTTGGTTCCGACGTGGAAGAAGGCGAAATCTCCGGGGACGAGATGGTGGGTGATGCCAGTAGCCTCATCCTAGATAGATCTATTATTAGAACTCGTTTGGCGGAAGGGTATTGAGAAGGCGTTGCTGCTTACAAGGATGTCAATCTGGCCCTGCAGGATGTACTTGGTCTCTTCGAAGTCGTAGTGAGCCGGTCGAGAGGGGCCTGCTTCGATCTTGTAGAAACCTGAGGTGAAGTAGCTGGGCGTGTCCTTGGTATTGGTGCGGATGGAGTGGAAGTCTGCGACGGTGGCGTTCTGGCCGGCGGGCAAAGGGATGAACTCAGAGCCAGCGCCCTTGATAACGGTGAGAGGGACGAGTCCAGACACTAATGAGCATGTCAGAAATCTCTATAACTTAACTTTGACTTGCTAGTTAGGGAATCTAGTACTTTTGATTGATGGGGTTTAAAGTTTGGGTTTTGTAGCTGGTTCTTGCGTGGATTGTAAATGATGCGATGTGATGCAACAGGAGTGTTACGATCGGAAGCTCTCTCCATTATATAAGAAAATCATACAATAAAGATAGCTTGTATCTTTTAGAGTGATGCTGAGACAGGCAGATGCTCTAATTACAGAAGTGGTAAGTCACCGCTTAGCATGGTATAATGATGCATCCATACAATCACGACCTACTGTGACATCTCTGCCCCTTGATCACCCCGCGATCACGAATTCCGAAACCCGAGATGTGTGCGTAACTTAGACAGCAGCTTCGTTTTGAATCATTCTTCATTCCAGTGACTAAAGAGAGAGAGCTCGCAATGTGGAGCTGTTGTAGCCTGCATACGAGAGCCGCCGTAGCGCGATTCCGTGCTTAACTAGTCTTGTAATTTTAGGAAAGTAATGCCATTACATGCAGGACCATCCATTTAGATATAACTTGCCTATTTTAAGATCAAGGAAAGGCCTCCTTGCGCGCTTAATCTGACTTAATGAGTAGGTAGCCCTCATGTGGATTGTTGAGGGGAATGTTCCTCGATGACAGCCTGAAAAGTTCTGTACTCAGTGTTTGGGACTTAACCTAATTTTAAAACGAGGTCGGAGACTTTGTTTTCCTTTTCTTTCTTTTACATATATTAGCGATAGTTTGTGAAAACGGAAACGAGGGAAAATGGACCTCATGCGCACAACAGTGGTGAGTGGTCAACGAGTATATGCTCACCGTAACTGCGATCTCACTGAATTTCATTCACCAAGCGCAGTCAGCTGCTTAAGCACTATCACGAACACACTGCTTAATCTCAATGGGATTCTCGAACTTTAAAACATCTGAGTGTTCTATCATGAGACTAAACTAAAGGCTCACCCATCGGCCGACAGCTGCGCCATCGCTGGTAGGCTTACTCTTCGGAATGCACTGCTACAAGTCTTGGTCAACACAGCCAGCTGCGTGTAAGCCTGGGAGTTTGACGTGTGTATCACATTAGGCGGGCATTTCTCATCCGGTATAAGAAAACTACGCATCGGGTCATATTTGTCACGTTTGTTGGCACTTAACGAGCGCCTCCTATCTGGCAAGCTGGGCATCGGCTCGTTCAAAGCCAGATCTCCCATAACATCCACCAAAGGCTGCCCCTTGAATATTACCGAGCGCCCAATTATATAATAACTCAGCAAATCATAGCCAATTAGAACTTTTTGGGGCTCTCTGGAGGTTTGGTGGCTTGGCAAGGCGAATCACACTCGCTGGCGGACTCGTGACATAAAACCGCCGGTCAACAACATATGAGCCAGTGGGTCGCCAAATGCAACGACATAGCTATTCCATTTGCTAAGTTTGAGCATGTGCTTTAACTCCGAGGCCAAACAAATACATGATTACTGATCGTGTTGAGATGACCCAATGGTTTTCGATGGCTCGTGGAGGTCGGATGTCATTGCGAAGGGCGTGATTCGGGTTGATTGGCCAGAGGACTGAAGTATATAAGGAACTCTTTTCTCAGATATTAGGAGTTAAAAACTAAAGACACTCACAAACACACTACTTTCATCATTATCATCACCATCACCATACACAATGCCTCTCTGGAACATTTTCCACACCGAAGGGATCTTCGAGTCCCAAGAGGTCCGAAGCAAGCTTGCTGCCGACATCACCGAACTATACACATCCAGCGGCCTCCCCGGCTTCTATGTTGTTGTTCATTTCATCCCCCTTCCTCCTTCCAACGTGTTCGTTGCCGCCAAAGCACGAGTCAACAAACCCTTCGTGCGCTTCGTCGTTGAACATATGGCTGTTCACAGAGAAGAAGGTCCCGCAGGCTTCGCTGAGCGTTTCAGTGATCGTATCAATGAGGCGCTGCGCCCTTACATTGCAGAGAAGGGATATGATTGGGAGATCACCGTCGCCGACACCCCACGCGATTTCTGGAGGTTCAATGGCATCACACCACCACCATGGAGGAGCGAGGCAGAGAAGCTCTGGGCGCAGACTGGCCAACCTATTGAGTGGAAGACGGAGTAGGCGGAATTGGAACTGGGATGGATGTATTAGCTGAAGCTCGATTTGACAAGTCAAACGCCTCTGACGACCATGAGAACTTATCGCATGGCAGATCAGAAGCATCAAGAGAGCATAGATATTGCCATTTCTAGCATTGCATCATGGAAAATCTTTGTGAAGTCAGTTCACTTTAAATCTATCAG